TTCCTCCTTCTGACTTAACCAATTGAACTAGAAATAAAACAGACCAGTGAAACTGCCTCATCTGTTTCATATTTATATCTATGCATAAAGGTTCAGAGTTACAAAAAAAACTCTCCACAAGAGTGTTTGACAAGAGAGGTGACTTTGTTTTTCAATAAGATAATGTTTTGTTTTAGTTTAGTTTAGTTTCCTGAATATCAAATCTATTTATGAGGACAGAGACCAGTAGGTTTTTAGTTTGTGTTATGAAATCTAATCCATACTAAATTAAATTCTCAATGTATGTAATAAACATAAAAAGCAGGACCACCTTGACCTCATTTTCGGCGTCGGTCTCGGCGGTTTAATTTAAACCGGAGACGGTTGCAAGTTTCAGAAAAGACATAGCTGAAATAAACGAATTCAAAGACCATATGGAAACAAATATACAAATCAATAACAATGGGTATCTCGCAATCTATTTTGCGCGTTATATGGTGCAACAGCCTGTGTATCTTCCCACAACGTAGTCTTCTCGTGTTTATTCTTATATTTAATATTCCTACATAATCGCCAAGCGTGATTAGTCTTTGTACTGGGGTTTTCTAAGAGAATGTATTGGGTGCTCCATCGCACGATGTGGCCCTCAAGATGCGTTCCGTGTCTATCTTCAATGGTAAATTGAGATGATACTAATTTCAAAGTGAGTTCTACTTTCTCCATCATGTTTTTCCTAGAATCGATGTGGGTTTTTTTCTTATTTATCTGTACGTGAAGATTTATATGTAGTTGATAGGTTGTATCAGGAGAGAAACAGAGACAACCAAGTATATAGTGTCAAGCCATATCGTTGCCTGGAGGTTGTCAAAACATGTAAAATAACCTCATTCATCCAGACGAATACCTTTGCCTTTATTCTGATATACAGGATGTGTCTATTTTAATTCCAATTGTTACCGGAAAACATGTTTGAAGTCCACTTTATCGAGGTTTAACTGTATGCTCATTTACGTGAAGTTAAAACAGCTTTCTCTGAAATTGAATCGTTATGATTTACAAACATGACAATAATGGAATCAAAATGGAATTATTGTGTCACGCTGCGGACAGCCTGGTGGCAAATGTTATTGACATCTTGTTCCTAGGAATAATGCAGCAGGGATGTGATCATACTACACCGTTGTCGACGTACTTGCACCTCAGTTGGGTGCGTAAATTTCAGCAAAATCTCCAAACTAGCGGAAATCAGAAAACAAAGAGACTGGATTAAGTCTGCATTTAGAGATTATTGGCAACAGAACACTGGTTGGTGAGACACGTGGTTTGACAAATCTGCTCTTGTCAAAGCAGACATTACTGTAATGACACAGGCGCGACAATGGAAGAATTGAAAACAATACAGCTGTAATGAGCTAGTTCCCAAATATCGCTGTGGACATTGATCGAGCTGAAAACTGTTTTTGTCCCCGCTCCATAGATCTTTTCGGTGGTAGATCCTCTCTTTCTATAATCTTATTTTCGGTTTTACAACATAGCCGCCAATACCGTTTATATATTGCTTATTTAAGGATTGTTCCATTCATAGCAGACCAGCTGAAAAACGGACTGTTTCTTTGTTTATTTTATAATATAGTAATCTTCTTTTATGAATGGGTATATTTATATGTTTTGCTTAATGTAAAGAAAAATAAATTCAAAATATGTTAATCATGACTATGGGTGGATTTTGGTAACTGTCGTATTTATGTAGGAATGGCACCAGGCATACTGATGAAGACACGCAACTGTCTCGCGGCACGGCCGTACCGTGCATGTCGGAAGCTATTACAATCCTGTCTGTCGCTCATTCATACTGTATGAACAAAATTATGAACGGCGTGAAAGTCAACGGGTTAGACTAGCATGTTAGTCACGGTCAAACGGTCCTACTGGTCATTTCACGCACGATATCCGCAGTCATCACGCACGCCCGTGCTAACAAGACGTGTTGGAAATGTTTGCCTAGCTCCCAATACCTGCTCACTGAGTCCCAGAGAGAACGATTGATTGACACACAACTGTCTTGCCTGATCGATTATGTTAATAATTGGAAATTCTGTTCCTCTTCAGGAAGTATATATTTGATTGGTACAGTTTCCAAGGCAAAACTGGCAGTTGCTTTCAATTATATAATCAGCAAATTTTGGATTTGTTTCAAAGAATATCGTGTATGTGTAATAGTTTTTAAACTGTGTAATTGGTCTCGCAATCATCCTACACAAATTCACGAAATGAATGGTTTGGGTTATTTTCTGGCGAGGATTTTGGATATGTGGTACAAATGTACAGTATTCTATTTTTTGTGTCAGAGAAATAAGTTCCTAACAGGGAAAAGATACAAGCTATGGCATTTCAAATATCAAACAGTAAACTGTGATATAATTCCCTGAGGCTAGACAGAATTAAGGGTACATTGTTTCCGATTAGTTCAAGTGCCTTCGTGACATTAGAGAGCGCACGCATCGGCTGAATTTCTGCGTCATTATGTCGGCTTACCTCGTCTTGTTTATGAATAGCATTCGTGCAGTGGAAATTGGTTGATGAGTCTGTATTATTTAATAGTTAATTTCTGAAATAATTTTATTTGTATTTTATATTCATTTAACATTTTCGATTTTTAAATAGTTTATGAGAGATGATATAACAGGGAGCAATAGCAATTGTTTGTGGGCATTTCCATAAGATCATTTTATGTGTGGGGCCAGTAACTTAAAACACATTTAGACACACGTTTCAATAAGCGTACAAATTTAGGTTCTCTTCGGCACTGGATGGTCTTCATTGTTGACTTTTTTGTTGCCGAGTTTATGAACCATTTTTATTTCACCTTTAAAAGGGCCATATAAAATCCAATAAAAAAACGAGCTTCCTATTTATTCTAAAGGCAATAAACACGTTTTTGTGTAAAATACGCAAACTTAAAATCCAAGATAATCCACTAATCCCATTAACATAGTGAAGTGTGAAATCGACATGTATTCACACTGCCTATCTACAATGTCAATATCATACTTTGACACCAAATGTGGGAACAATTTCCAGTTCAGAATTCTCTCCCATTAACAAAAGAGCGAAAGACGTGTTGAGGCTTTTTTTCTATGGCCGAGAAACGACGGCGACCACTTCGTCGAAATACTAACATCTATTCGGCAAATATATCTCCGTGATCAAATATTTCTATTCAGCTGGCTTCTCACTTCGGGGGGTTTCCCTCTTCAAAATGAATTGCAAATTCTTTGAGCGGCCTGCTCGTTATTGTATCCAGAAATAGAATAGTCTCACAATAGTGTTTTAGTAATAACTGTACTCCACGGGTTCGCTGTATATTGCATTTGTATGGGCTTGCTATCCCGGGTGTGAAAACACGGGTAAACCTCGAGAATATCCCATAAACAAGATGACAGCTGACCTCTTTACCCCGGGGGAAGGGGAGTGGTATGGACTTGTTTTTCTGGGGGTAGGGAAGAGCATAAAAATAGATTTTAAGACGCAGCCTAGTTAGTGATTATTGTAGGGCTTGTGTGGCATGTTTATGTTGTAAATATCAGTGAGCGGGCCGCACATCATTTCAGTAAGTAAATTATAGGTCACTTGTGGCAAAGTTTGAAATCTATTTCTGCAGGGAAACCTATTTTCTCCAGAATATATAAACGCTCTTTTGCGCTACATATGCCTGAGGAGGTGCATACTTACAAACGTATATTGTTACTCTATTAATTTCCATTTACGCTTAAAACTGAGTCGTGACTGAAGAAACGGGCCAGATTAACGGTAAAAAGATAGGTAGGATGGTTGGTGCTCGAAAATAGCAAATTGATGACATAATCACAGAAATTAAATATGCCTTGGGCGGGATAACAGTTGGCCGGCATTAAAAAAGGGTACAATTACAGGGGCAGGGTAGATTGCAGGGGTGGGGGTATCAGTGGTTTTACTCGCCCTGCCAGCGGCACTCCGCGTTCCCCACCACCTGAATGGAGAATTACTATGGCCGTGAGACAATAGTAGTACTTAGCGCTTGAGTGACGGAATGTTGACAGGGTTTGACAAGTGGTATTAATTACTGCTGTGTTTTTGTAGCTAGAAAAACAATTTGAAATGACAGCCACAGCATTGCTTTAAATATTTCGCTTGCCACTTGATCACATTTACAGAAGCGATTAATGGTGGATGTGTTGATACTGTTCGGAATGCTGTGTAAACATGAGTCTGCAGTTGTACATATCATGTTGATGTCAGTTCTTGTGCAGTTGTTGATGTCAGATGCATAGCAGGTGAATAGCACTTGCACGACATTTTTGTGTAATGTCATGTCAAAACAGTTGTACATTTCATGACACCATCATTAAGCACATACATCCTATATATAGTAAAATCGGTGCGTTTATAAAAATTGATCATGTTTATCACCTGTCACAGGTAGACATTAACACTGACAGCTGATGGTTATGAGATTACAGTAATATAGGTCATAGCGCGATGAAATATACCAGCTTTGTCAATTTCATTATGTCTTTAGTAAAAACCAAATCATCTATACAACTGGTTCCTTGCAGTCGGCTCCAATTGGTGTCAAGCCAGGGTTTATGTGCCCCATTGCCCAGTGAAATGTGGTTATTGGAAATATCTTGTTGGTTTCGCTACAGGTAGCTGGTCCGGTGCAAGCTGTCAAGGCACACCTGTGAAGTCGTTTAACGCGATCAACATAGGTATATTCACAGCGGGAAATTTCAACCAGTTATTGTACACGAGCGTCTATAAGCAAAGCGAACATCTTGAAACTGTAGCTAGCTGCTTGTTAGGTTTCCCCGAACACGCCACTGTATACCACGTCACCACATCTTCCCCGAGGGGAAAGAAATGGGAATACATGCAGCAGATCTTGTAGCAGGTAGTGCGTAATAATATACCTAAGCCGCTACACAACACACATCAAAGCACCAGTAGCGAATAAAGTTAGTTTATAGTTAGCTGTAAAAGCAAGAAAAGGTTGGTTGGGAATAGAAATCCTCGGTTTGGAAAGGTATGTCGCCTCTGCTTCAACTCCGGCACAGCTCGACGAGAGGCGGCTTATGGCGCCCGCGATACGCTCGGCCAATCACGGTCCAGGAACAACTTTTAATATGCATGACTCGGGGAAAAGGCCCGAGTGATACAATGGGGTACAATCCTTGTAAGGACTAGAAGCAACAAGCTGGCCGACACGAGATTGTAGCTCACTCCAAGACTTGCGGGTAGGACCTAGTGTGCCTTGGAATAGTTAATATCGATAAAGTATCGTCAGTCAGCCGTGGATCGCGGCAACCACTTTGATCAGCAACTTGAACAGGTAAACACAGGTAGGTGGGTGGGAATGCACCTGTAACTTGACGTAGAAGACGGGCTTGGAAGCTTCTTTCCCTTCTAACCTTGGTGTGGGAGTTGGGTCTGGAGTTGTCCTCTAGTCTACATGGGATGTTTCAGGTGTCCCGGGGCTGGTTGTGTGTGCCGTATGGACAGTGTTGGCTGTGATTGAGGACTTGTCCTGCGTTCAGCTGTTACACTTGGTTAAGGAAGGGAGAAGTCAGACAACCAATAGGACGGAGAGAGAAGCCGTCGACCCTCGCTCACTCAAGCCTATAATGTCGCAGCCCAATAAAGAAGGCAAAGGTATGTCCTGTGTTTTTCACTTTGCTTCGTAATATCTCGCCACGGTTCCTGAATCGGCACTCAAGCAGCAAATCGTCGCCTTGTCAGCGTCAGGATAGTCCTTGCTTCATTTGCCTGTGTCTCGCGTCACATATACATGGTGCTGGGGCAACACGGACACCCGACTATATCTCAGTAGTTAAACAACATATACTCTCAATTGGTAGCGGAGTTTTCTTTAAGATAGCCTGCAAGTAAACACTCTTGTCCTATCGCGTATTTGGTTTGGCAATATTAGTTTGTGATATACGCGTCTGGATTGGGGGTGTTAAATACTCATAACCCCAGCAGCCCGTGATAAACTTGGAGTTACACACCACGGATTACTTTCATCTTAATTTATGCTGCTACCTTTGTTGTGGCATCTTACTTGTGCACCATGTTGACACCGGTAAGTAAAACTGCTTACCATCCTACAGCAAGACATACAACTTTCCTTACTTTACAGTTTTTAGATATTTCACTTTCTTTATCAAAAATATATTATTTTAGGGTAAAGTGAAACTTTAGAAAATAGATACATCATTTGTGAACATTTTGAGATATGCCATGTGAGTTTGAAATTTTAATTTATGAAACTTGTTATTTTTTCATGATCATTTTTCTACACCTTCAGCTGTATTCTATGTTCCATAATGTATTTAATATATATAATCGATTTTTCCCTTTGATGTTTATAACTTAAATAATTACAAAATTGTGAAATATGTTCATTATTCTGCATGCTGGCTTGCTCAATGGCTATGTTGTGATACATGTGCCCATATAGAATATGTCATTCGTTTTGTATTACTTGTACATTTTCCATGTCAATTCCAAAGTGATTTGATGGCCTGATAATTTTGATGAACTCCCTGTTTTCATGTTATTTTCCCAAGATTGAGTGGAACGTACACTTTCAAGCGAGAGAAAACGCTACAATGAATCAAGTTGCAACCCAGCCCAACATTACTATGGAGAAACCAGGTAGATATATTGAGTTGATCCCAAATTGCACCCTGGCATGCTTCGAAGTGTTGTGATGAGCCGTCGAACTGTGATCGACTTCTCTTCACATTACTGCCTCTTCTCTCCGTACATTGTTATATCTACTGATGTGATATTCCGCGTTGACATGCTGTATACTTCTACAACCTGCAGATATTACCTTAAAAGATAGTGAGCCTGACACCTCCAGTTAAATACATTAATGTGATAAGTATGTTTAAATTAAACATCCTATAAGGTACTATTTCATATGTGATTTTTATCTAATGACCGACTAAGTAATATGAGGTAGTCTACAAGGCGTGTATAGGAAGTTGGCGTTGTACAGGGTTATACATTATCCCCCACTCCGTTGACTGCAGATGACACGGGAAGGTCGACATAGTTATCAGTCCGCCGCGGGCTAGTCCTGACCTACGGGTACCCCACGTGTGGAAGGTATTCGCATTTCTACTGTGTGTTGCCATGGCTTAGTTTAGTTTATATTAAGTAAGTAAAACTGTGTTGGTGATTAAGCGGTACAGTCTGAGACTTCTTTATGTCTACTACTTCCGCCTGACACCTGGTTGACAACGGTTATATTCATGTTTAGCGCAGAGGCCCATATGGCCATCAGCCCAGGGCACAACTTCAGTTGATTTTTAACAAAATATTTAAAAGAAATTTGTTAATGGCTTAATACTTCATTGAACGTATACTCAAAGTACGCTATGTTGTCTTCTGTAAGTGGCAATTAGAAGTCTATAAGTTCTTTGTACAATGAATTCATTATGTTGGTGTTCTCTGGTCATCCCTGGTCATATCTGGTCACCAGGAAGAACGACGTGGTCAGTGAATGAAGTATGAATTATTGGCTTGAACTGCATCATAGGCTCGATGAACCCTGTGTATGATACAAGATGAATATCCGTCACTGTCAGCTGCTACATGTTTGTGCGACACGTCACGAGACATTCAGACATACCGTACATTAATCTAACATAATACTCCTTCCTTTATCGCCACTTGCTGCATTTTAATTTACACGTTAACGCCGCGATGCAATACTATTCCACTCCCCTAGTCAGATGACTGTATTCTACACTGACTGGATTCAGGCGAACGGTTTAGAAGTACTTTATGATAATTTACATTTCCAGATAGTTAATTTATCCAAATAATGAATATATGATGTATGTAACTATCATCCCAGTTGCATGTGCACCAAATGGATAATTTTGTATGCTGAAAAGCACTGCTGCATGTTATATTTGGGAAACACAGCTACATGCTATATCTGGGAAACACTGATGTATGATATATCCGAGTAACACTGCAATATGATGTGTTCGAGAAACCCAGCTATATGATGTTGTTCCCAACAAGTAAGTCTGTGGCATGAATCAGTATGACACATCGATTCTCCTGTCGATTTCACTGTCCCCACTGACACGTATTGAACTGGGATGACATTTGCGGTAGACATCATACTTTAAAATAGTCCCAACTTATGACCCGGGACCTGTCTAGCGCCACATGACAACGGAAAATATGTGCCGTCAACTTGAAGCGACCAGTTTCAATGATTACATTGGTTATATGTTAATATTATAAGGACAAACCTATATGGTTATGCTGATGGCTGCCCAATCACAGCTGACAACTGGGAGGTAGTTATCAACACATATTATGAAATCGACAATTAATTCGTGACATGAACGTTTCTGATATTTATGACACAGAACCTGAGACAATTCCTTTGGCGTCATATTGTGAAAATAAATATTTCAGAATATGTTTAGACCTCTGAAATAGATATTTATCGTAAAGACAGCAATAGACACCGTCAAGTATGCTGACTGAAATTATTAATGGGTGATAATGAGACTCTGTGTATTGCTACAAAAACGGACATTACCCCCCAACAAGATCAAACCGAAGCAAATCGATCCGGGCTTCCGAAGCGTGAATTCCTGAACATAGTTTTGGTATTGATGACAAGATCGATACTGCATCACTAGACCACTGATCCTGTGTAATGTTTATTCTTTAATTAATCCCATTGAAAGTAGATGATCGATCTCAATTTGTTTTGGTACCATGATCAAATAATAACGAGACTGTTAACGTGTTCTTAACTTGTAGGCAATAAAACATCACAAAGAAGCCATTAAGTTTGCATGATGAAATGTATTTTAATGACTTTCTGTCTGTCGTGATATTACTTGGATTAGAATTATTGATTTATCAACGGTTTCTGTTGACATCCTTGTTGAATTTTAGTATATATGATATATTTACCACTATCTACATTCATTTAGATCCTGATGTAAACATGTTTTCTCCGCGATGATATGCATTAACGTCTCTGTGTCAGTAGTTGTTTCCACGTCTGCCAGTTCGTACAAGATCAAAATAAATATGTGTGGTGTGGTGTGGTGTGGTGTGTGTGTGGTGTGTGTGTAAAGTGCAATAGAAAGGGAGAAATGGTCATATGTTTTGTAGTATTTCAAATGAATATGGGACCATAATACACACGCACAAACTCTAATGACACTTCGGCATGTTGCTAATTTACTCTAATTGACAGGTGCAATAGTCGCCTCCTTTCTTACGGATCCCAAGAGAAATGTCTGAATTATTAACCATATTTCCCATGAATAAATAAGCCACGATTGTTGTGTCATCTCCGTTGACAATTACTGCTGGTTTGTTTCTAAGAAGGGAATAATAGGGAAGAAAACACCAGTACTCAAGGAGCCCTGAAGTGCTGCCGAGCGGCCGAGAATTATGACTTATTTATAACCTATCTCTTCTTTGTCTGTATACAATTAATGGTAAAGGACACAACACCTCTCCTTGTGGTCGGCTTATATTTCCATATAATTGTTACTTTAAAAAACGTCCATCCTTAATGGAGAAACGTTACCGAGACTACCATTTATAGCTGTCAGCAATGAATATTGCTAATTATTTATGAACAGATATAAAAGAATAATTAACATTTGTTTTAATGCATGTTTGATACTTCAGAACAAACAAGGGATAAGTGGAGGTCGTCCGTTTCAGCTCATGTCTTAGTTTTACTCATGATATACAATGTACTGTGCTATAACGTATAAATAGTTTATTTGTTTGTGGTGCAATGTTTAGTCAGAGGTGACGTAAAGAAACATGCTGATGGCGATTAAAATTGACAAGAGTGCATGATTCCGCTAGGGTTCCATCTAATGCTCATCTACTTGGAATGTGCTGTATTTGAAATATCAATGCAGACATCAGCTCTTATCAAGCCAGGCAGGGAACAGATGTATAGGGAAAACATACAATATCGAGCATAAATGCTATTGTGTCTATTTCCATTAACAATACGCATGTAATTGGCATCTTTTTGACATCATCAGTGCACACATTCCATTTAGTGGCAAGCCATTCACCTGATTCATTTAACAATTTGTCTGTTTATTGCTTGACTGACAGCAGTTAACCAAAATTGCAATGAACTAGATCGACTGACACAGTGCAGAAAACGTTTATGAACTAGCCCGTCGTGTCAATATGGACCAATATTTAATGCCTTTATATGTGACTTTGCTGTTGGAATTGGTTTATACAGCCACCGTGTAAGCTTTTCGGGGTTCATAAGGACATCACGGTTCCCCAGGGCTCCATAGGTTCTGCGTCGAGTGAACACACATAAGATGTATAGTATTGTTTTCAGTTAATACCTCTCTTCATTGATCTTGGTAGTGCCATTCTCTGAACAAGTCACTGGGACGTGTGTGTCGCCATGATGGTTGAGTAAAGATACAGTGTATGTGTAAATGTTTTTGCTCAAAGAACTTCATGGGTGATAATACTACTTTTCAGCTTATGGTCACGGTATTTGTATGTTCAGTGCTATAGGTAAACTTGGGACAGGTGATTATGTCGTGCAGGTCCTACAATGGACCATCAATATAGGCGTGTTTCATTCTTGTTTGGTGACCACATGTTCTCTTTTTATGAAGGTCTTGTTTTGAAAAATTGAAATGTCTTCTACTTCATCAATCTGTCACGTCAGGGGAACGACTGCATCCCATGTGTAAAGAAATCATCAAGTTACCGTTAAAAGAAATATAGTCCTTTTAGAAGGAAATAGCCTAAGAAAATATAAATCGACTTTGATCGTTGGGACACAAGGTAAACTGGTCTACACTAAGATAACAATATGGCGACTCTTGTATACCCGGTCTTCAATCCCCTGGTAATGACATATATTTGCCTGTCAGGATTTTATCCAACTTTTGTCTACTGACTCGTGAATAGGATCAACCTGTCATTTAGCCATATTGTAATTCAAGTCGGTATTTCTTTGTCAAATGAACTATGTTCCTTCTTTTGATGATAACCTTTCTTGAATAAAAAAAATCCCAAACCATTTGCAGTGTGTTGCAGAAGTCTAGCCAAGCAGAAACTCGCATATATGAGGCTATATCTGCCGATAAGCTGTTTAAGAAGTGTTTTCAGTAGGTTCTATTGGGCAATGAGGGAGAATGATGGTAGATTCACCCTTGTGTGACGAACGCTCTTTCAGAATCGCTCAACTATCACATGTTTGGGCCATCAAAATTTTCAACAAGGATCCCATGCTGGGCCCAAACCAACTAGCAGTATTAGACTTCCCACAATAGCATTAGCCCGAGCATACATAGAACAAGATGTCTCTCAGTCTGGATTTGTCAGCAGAATTGAAGTGCAGGGGGTTGATTCGACAGACAACAGTTCCTTTGTAGCAGAAGGTTTTTCTATTGAGAATCGTAGAAATATGTTCGCCTCCAAGTCTTTTATTCCTCCTGTCAAGTCATTTTGACTCATTTTTGCCAACCATAGGGGTTCCAAATTGGTAGGGTGGTTCATGTGGGTAAGACAATATGGTTTTGAGACGTGACACTTGTCTCGAGGACCGACATCCTCTTCTGTGGAGGCTAACACAAGTGAGGGCAAAAAGTTTTCAGGAT